TGTTTCTGGTTTTCGTTTTCAAATGTTATAGGGTCTAATAAGGTTTTGGTTTTGGTTTTCATAATATAGATTAAAATTGCTAAGTGAAAATCAAAAAGTTTAAAACAAAAACGGAAAATTAAAAAATCAAAATCAAAACAAAAACCCAAAAGCAAAATGACGAAGTGAAAATCAAAAAGTTTAAAACAAAAACGGAAAATTAAAAAATCAAAATCAAAACAAAAACCCAAAAGCAAAATGACGAAGTGAAAATCAAAACGTTTAAAACAAAAACTGAAAAGTAAAAAACAAAAACGGAAACGTAAAAAATATAAACCGGAAAGTGAAAAATAAAAACGAAATCACTATCTGGCCCCCCTGGGCTTCCGTACCAATGTTAACACGTAACTTCTGCCATGTTCTTGGCCTTAAAATCGCTCTTATTCTTCTGTTCAGACATTTTTGAACCTTAAACGTTTCGAGTCTCAAACAGCGAAAGGGAAATAACATTTATAAACTAACGCAAACTTGAAATAGCGAGTGTAGTTCGTACAAGTTTAGTATATGGCAGACAACGAATGTCCGAACTTTGCGGGTTTGTTTACAACAAAGGTCGTCAAAGGTCACGTGAAACTACACGTGAAATCTGGCGCTCAGAAGGTGAACTGTCAGAGGAGCTAAAAACTCGCATCAAAATTTTTGGAAAGTAAGATGCAACAAGAAAAGAAATACAGCTCATTAAAAATAATAACCAAGGGCTTACTTTTCCATAGTTTTAGAACCCGCAGGTTATTATTATGGTCACTGAATTGAAAAACTAGGTTATTAGTTGTAATAATGATCTTCTGTTCCACCTCAACGACCAAGTGTTCAACTTTATTTAAAATAATAACCTATTCAAAACAATGGAAATTGCATGAAGACCCGACCAAACGACTGTAAGCTGTGCAAAAAATGAACTTACCATAGGTTTGGTATATACTGAATAAATGACAGACACACAAATGAGTTGGCTGCATATCCTTGTTAAGGACCGTGGCAGTAGTTTTATTGTTATTTTGAAGACTTTCTTGCAAGGCAAATCTTTCAGGTTTTCTTTGTGGTCAAGCAGTACCTGTTAAAGAATGGAAAGTGTCATTTGTTGTTGTAAATACTATACCGTACTTACGTGTTAAGAATTGCACTCCGAATTAACCTTATTTTCTTGTTTAACTGGTTTCTCGTTACCTTCAGTTTTATTCACACCTGTCTTGCCCCTCTGTCGACTGTTATCTTATGTCAGCTTGAACCGTCCCGGGAAGCATTGTAATTCTCTCCCGGTGCAAGCTAAGCACTCTACGTCAAAATTGCCAACAGTTGGGTTGTTGGCATCGCGTTTGTGCGGCATAAAACAACTGCATAATCTATACCTTTAAATCGTACATAAATGTCGCGGTTAATCAAATATAAAAGCATATACTATGAGTCAGAGTAGCAAAAAACTGTCCAACGTTTGAAGTTTATGCTATAAGTGTAGTCTACGGAAGTGAACACTTCTTTAATTAAAGCGAAAAATTCTAACTACATAAAAGCTCATAAACATCAACAAAATAGGTCTATTTGACCTTAACAATCGCAACTCGCGTTTATCTTGTTGACTACACGTAACCTTTATTACTTTTTTGTCCCTCCAGTTCAACATTCGTCGAACCAACATAACGAGGGGACTATGCATGTTCACAGGTAACTTCGGACGACAATAACACACAGAGGAAAGAATTATGACATAACTGATCCGTTATTTAAAGTCTACTAAAAAGAATAATTTCTTTCTGCAGCAAAAATAACTGGCAAAAACCGTTAAATAAATTTAGACTCTTATCACCGTTTCTTTAACTTGACTTACAAATTTTTGCAGAAAAAAAAAGCAAACGATAGCGTAACCAAAAGTTAAAGTTGAACTAAGGACAAACCTGCTATTTTCGAGGAGGTAAAAGAGAATCTTGACTTTCATTCCAGACCAGAGATCGGCTAGCTGAGTTTGGTATTCAAGGCTCCTCAGGCAATGCAAGATAAGAAGGTTTCTGGCTTTAAACACAGTTAAATCAAGGGGAAATTGGTGTCTCCATTTATACGGTCACTCGATTAAAATTCAAACCAGTACGAGAAATGTTTTTGGCAAATCTTTTCTTGAAACTATATGTGAGAAAAGCACGCGCTCTATGTTCATCAATAGGCAATCAACGCATAGATTGGTCACATTCAAAGAAAACAGATTGCCCACTCACTCAATTACGTCACGTAGCTCTTGGTTGAAAACAGTATACTGTGGATAAGCATGGTACTCGATAATGCATTGAGAAAAACAGCACTCAGTTCACCAATCAAAAATTAGACTAACGCTTGAATTAGATGCATTCAGAGAAAAAAAAATGCCGACTTGATTAAAACGTGACAAATCGATGACAAAACTGGCTAGTAAATGAGTAGACAATAGGTCTTTCGCCCCAAGAGAAATTGAAAACAATGCTATTGCAAAATTTTGGAGGGAAAACAAAGAGTATTATGTTATTTTTGAAAAAGGCCTATAGCCGTGTGAATTACCACAAGCTAGCCCTGAATAAATTTAAAAGTACCAGGAAAGAAACATACAAACTTTCAAAACTTTTCAGTAGACAATAAAGCGAAGAAAGTTACGGAAAACTAGCGTTAAAGAATTGCTAGCACAGGAACCATTTTGACTCCTAACATTTGATCGCCTGGTGATGTTGATCACCACCATCAGTTTGACAAAACTAATGAATATGCGAAGACTATAATAGCCTGTTTTGTACCGGCTCGTCACGACTAAAGTTAAAAGTGCGAAAAAGCGAGAATACAAACTTTAAAAACTTTTAGGTAGAAAAAAATCATCATTCATTCCAAAAGCGCAGCAAGTTGAGCACAACTTTTGATTAAAATTGCCAGTTCAAAAAAATCACTTCTATCAAACTGACACATAAAAAGCTCGCGTTCAACGAAAATGCCGCGAAAAACACAATATTGAGGAGGTCATTGATCATAGCATAAGCCGGGGTTATTTTTTACTGGGTTCACAAGAATAGTGGAGTGGATTTATGTGATCACATGCATCAGGACCAGGTAGCGAATATTCACATGACGTGGACTCTTTGTTTTAAGAGCGCAAAAAGTCCACTTCCGGTTAACGTGCGTGCCTCAAAATGGTCGCTGCTTTCAAGTCATCTATCAACCGTATTACCGTGGCCCATACAGGACAATTTTCATCTTAATGTTTGTCACAAAATGTGAGTTGTTAAGTCTTTTCAAGTAAAAAATGGCTTTTTTTTCTGCAAAAATCCGAGTTATTAATTTTTCAATTACACAACTCGGATTTTGATCGCAAAAATCCAAGTTGTGCAATGTCTAAAGTACACAACTCGGATTTCTTATGCAAAATCCGAATTGTTAATTTTTCCATGATTAAACAACTCGGATTTTTACCGCAATAATCCGAGTTGTTTAATCTCTGAAATACACAACTGAGATTTATAACGAAGAAATCCGAGTTGTTGATTAGTCAATTAAACAACTCGGATTTTTACCGCAAAAATCCGAGTTGTTTAGTCTCTAAAATACACGAACTCGGACTTATAAGTCGCAAAAATCCTAGTTACTAATTTTTCAATTGAACAACACGGATTTTTACCACAATCCGAGTTCTCTAATTTTCGAAAATATACAACTCAGATCTCTAGTGCAAAAATCCGAGTTGTCAATGTTTCAAATAAACAACTCGGATTTTTGCGTTATAAATCTGAGTTGTTTAATTGACAAATTAACAACTCGGATTTTTGCGTGATAAATCCGAATTGTGTATTTTGGAGATTAAACAACCCGATAAAAATACGACTTGTGTATTTTGAAATTAGACAACTCGGATTTCTAACGCAAAAATCCGAGTTGTGGTATTAAATGATTACACAGTACCAATTTCGTAACAAACAAATGAGATAAAAATTTCAATCGGAAAATGTATGGGCCATAATCAAAAATCCTTGTTCCAAAAAAGTGGGAAATACTGTGCAACGCACAATCCACGGAGAACCCTTGGAAGTTGTTGATCACCACAAATACCTTGGAGTTGAGATATTCAGTGATCTAAATTGCTGGAATTATAGGCAAAGCCAACAGATCTCTTTAGTGGCTTTATGAGAAAAAAATTAACTAAATGTCCAGAAGACGTAAAACAGCAAGCCTATCTTGCTATAGTTAGACCACAGCTTGAATATATGGATGTTGTGCATGGGATCCGCACATTCAAAAACACTATAAAGGACATTGAGAGTGCGCAGAGACGAGCGGCACGTTATGTTAAAAATGAATATGGCACAACTCCTGGAACTATTACGAAAATGTTGAATGATTTGAAATGGCCAACACCCGAGAATTTTCTTAAGGTTTATCATTTGCATGTAGTTCTGATCGCAATCCGCTAAAAAAGAACAAAATTAATATGTAAATCATTATACTTCACAGGTGTTTTCAATACGTTAGATTCTCATTATTATTTTTTTACGAGAACCAAAATAGAATAATGAGTCATCTACATTCAGCCATGCGCAAATAACTCCGAAATGATTTTTGAAATTTCTTAACGGCAGCGTAGTTTCGAGCTAGTCTCTCCTGAACGATCATGGATCGCTTGTGTTTAACGATACCTGATGAAATTTACTGCTGCTAAAACTGTTCCTTCTATTGCAAGGTGGTGTAACACTAGAACTGTACCAAAAACACAGTGAAGAAATTCAACTCGCGAATCAATATGAAAAGTGTAAGTGTTACAGCTATTGCTATATCTCTTGCCTTTCTCTTGTCTGGACGAATTGCCAAAGAGCTGCCAATTGCACACTATTTAGTCTGTGAACTTGTTTCTCAACTGAAACCTTTCAGAGTGTTTTATTTTAATCGGCAGTGGTATGTTTTTCCTTTTTGTTTTTCCTCAGGTTTGAGAAGTAAAATTCAGTGCATGGCCATGGTTGATCATGAGTGATGAGGAACGTAACGAAGAGAGTTATCAGCTCATGGAAGAAAAACAGCAAGAGATTTGTAGAGGTAACTATCCAAGTAAAAAGTCACCTTAACCAGGACAATCATAAACTGACATAAGGATAAATAATGGTTTTAATATTTGGTGATAGAAAACGTGTCAGTTATTTTGTAGGATACCTGAGGTTACTATATAACTTATTTATGTTAGACCCGGTAACGAGTTGAAGTATGATTGATTTTCTCTGGACAATATTTTCTCCTGAGCGATTTTCACTTTAGGCAATATACTAATTAGTTTTACGAGCATTATCCCGATGAGCAAATAGACTGCTAATATAAAGTTGTTATCACCTATATATTTACTTAAATGTTTTTTTTTTTTAAGTTAAACACATAAGAGCAAAATGGGACATGGGTATTAGAGAATAAATTACGAGCAAAATTATATTGTGACAAGTTCTCTTCTTAGTCTACAACCATTTGCTAAAATGAGAATCATTTCCTTTTCGTTTACTGACGAGAGTCGTCCAAATTGTGTTTTCCTTTGTGTTGTTTCGTTCAGTATCATCCCTTCAAATCGATTCTTTCCTTTTCAAAGTGCATGTCTCGGCCAAATGAAGCATTTAGAGGGCACTCAGGCCCGCGGACAGAACTTTTAAGATACTTAGATTTTATTCCAGGGGTTATTCACTTATATACACTGTAAGCCACATAGGCATGTGCCACCCAAAGGATATGGTTTTTGCGCTTTTTCGGTCTAAAAACGGGTATGCACTTTGCTAATTTTGGTTTGGAATTGGGTGTGGTTTTCGAGGGAAAAAAACGCTGTGCAAGCACGTATTAGTCGTTTCAATTCCAAATTAAAGAACAAGAAACAAAAAGAACTATTTGCGAATTCTTTGACATAATTTCTGCCTAGAGGACAGGACTGAAAAAGGCGTGGAAAATGACTTTTTTTTGTCTGAAATAAGGCCCGGAGTTAAAGAACAGGGCGGCTCACCCCCACCAAGAATCACCAGGAGTACCCCACAAGAGATCTTCTTCAAGTATTAAATAATGCAAACAACGGTCAAGGTTTACGTACTAGGGCTACACGGGAAAAACGTGCGGACCGAAAACGAAATGATTTTAAAACGCTAGTGCCTGTAACAACACCTCCTGCTCCCCTTAGCTTAACACCATCTTTCTCTTTCCTTTGACTGCCAGATTAAAGAGTTCTTTGTTATGCTTTAACTATTTTTTTGCCTTGTTCACTCATGTAGGCGAACAATCTAACAGAAGTACAGTCATTAATTTTTAAGTGCGGACCCAGCTAAACTGGACGATTTTTAAAACGGTAAGTACTTGTAACAACCCCAATCCCGATCTTTTCTTAGTGACTTTATGAACTGACTACTCAGGATCTTGCCGTTAAAGTTCAGACTACAGACTTGGCAAAATGGCTCATTTGGTAACTCCTTTTTTCTTCACTTTTTACACAGTCATCCAGGCGAACTCAAAATCAGTCAAAATCGCTGAAAATACCTTTTTGGAGGCAAAAAGACATATACATTAGGTAAGGTAGTACACTGTATATTTAACATTAATCTTTATACATAGTTGGCGATATATTGCTAATGTAAAGATGAATTCGAAGCAAACTCAGTTAGAAACAAGCAGATTGTGTGGGTAGCCTGTGGTATAAACCACGAAGGAATCCTCGTCCCAGGGTCTACTCGTGTCCCGGCCAATATGGCGGCGTGTGGCTGTTAGTTTGGATCAGTGCGAACCGAATTTAAGCTTAATAGTACCTACCCAAATTTCAAGAAAGGACTCTGCAATATAAAAACCAAAATACCAAAGAAGTCAATAGAATCAGAAGGTCAGGACAGACATAAAGGTATTACATATTTACAGGGACACCCAACGACGATTTCCTCCTATAAATTGCATTGAAATTATGAAGTATCTCAGCTGAGTAATTCTCGTTATGGAGTAGATGGCTAGGATGTAAAAGTAGGCGGTGATTTCAGGCTTTCACTTTCGCACCTTCCTGTAGTTCTCCAAAAAGTAGGCGGCTCAAAACTCGAAGCAGCCAGTTTTTTAGCCGGCTGCCGGCACTTAAGGGAAAGTTCATTTAATATGTCAAGGGGGGGGGATGAAGATATTGAGGGGGGGCTCCGAAAATTTTTAGACACCTGAAGGGGGCTCTGAAAAAATTGTTGCGCTAGGAGGGGGCTCCGAAAATTTGTATACTTCAAAACCAACACATGACATCATCATACAGGTCGGATGGTTTTCAACTCAACAATTTAATGACCTGTGCAACTCAGCTATATCACGTGGGTTACAGATATAACAAATGTAGTCTCAGTAATTATTACACTCTTGTTCATCCTAAAAATGCTTTAGAAAATTGTATCACAACTGTATCTCAAGTTTGTCATAGTATAAACCATTGAAGACAATAACGGTAAATATATTTAATACAGTCTAGCGATCTTTTTTCCGGGGAGCAAAGGAATTGAAGGAGGAGGGGGGGGGGGCTCTGAACTACCAAGGAGGGGGCTCCTAAAAAATTGAACCGCTAGCGAGGGGGGCTGCTAAAATTTCAATTGCTTCATCCCCCCCCCCCCTTGTCATATTAAATGAACTTTCCCTAATGAGAATCCTGCAGACTACAGTACTCTTAAATCTCTAGAAATGCATTCTAAGCGGGGCTATAAAATTTGTATCTGTTCGGTCATCCAAGGGGAACTTGAGCCTTTTCGAAATCACAAGGGCTTCAGTTTTATTTTCCTGAAAGTATGAGGCCGTAAGTTAATTAAGTTCATTTCTTTATCACCTAGAGATATGCCAAGAGATCAGAGGCACAATTTAAAAGATTTGACCAACAAGAAACAAGAAAGGCCAATACAATATTAAAATAATTTTATTCTATTTATATAGATTAAGCAGTCTAGCAACACAGTGTAGAAGATACCAGAATTCATGGTCAAAACAAACTACACTGTAAAATTCAAACTGCATGATAAATGACATAAGACATAATGCTGCCCCTCTCAAACATGCAAAGGAATACTCCAGTTTTAAACCTGTGAGAGCAACAATTAGCAATGTTTGATGCCCTATGATATATTCTAACCTTTACATAAAAACTCTGATTAAACAATATACTTAGGTCAACTGGGTTTCCAACCCAGCAAAGAAATGGGATACAGATTCCCCTGAACTATTGCAAGGGAGACAGGAGCTCCCTGGACTGATACTTCAGTCAATAATAGATGAAACTTACTATTAAAACTAGATAAACTGGGATTCCAACCCAGAAGCAAGGGAGACAGGAGCTCCCTGGACTGATACTTCAGTCAATAATAGATGAAACTTACTATTAAAACTAAATAATCTGGGATTCAACCCAGCAAGCAAGGGAGACAGGAGCTCCCTGGACTGATACTTCAGTCAATAATAGATGAAACTTACTATTAAAACTAGATAAACTGGGATTCCAACCCAGCAAGCAAGGGAGACAGGAGCTCCCTGGACTGATACTTCAGTCAATAATAGATGAAACTTACTATTAAAACTAAATAATCTGGGATTCCAACCCAGCAAGCAAGGGAGACAGGAGCTCCCTGGACTGATACTTCAGTCAATAATAGATGAAACTTACTATTAATACTAGATAAACTGGGATTCCAACCCAGCAAGCAAGGGAGACAGGAGCTCCCTGGACTGATACTTCAGTCAATAATAGATGAAACTTACTATTAAAACTAGTTAAACTGGGATTCCAACCCAGCAAGCAAGGGAGACAGGAGCTCCCTGGACTGATACTTCAGTCAATAATAGATGAAACTTACTATTAATACTAGATAAACTGGGATTCCAACCCAGCAAGCAAGGGAGACAGGAGCTCCCTGGACTGATACTTCAGTCAATAATAGATGAAACTTACTATTAAAACTAGTTAAACTGGGATTCCAACCCAGCAAGCAAGGGAGACAGCAGCTCCCTGGACTGATACTTCAGTCAATAATAGATGAAACTTACTATTGAAACTAGATAAACTGGGATTCCAACCCAGCAAGCAAGGGAGACAGGAGCTCCCTGGACTGATACTTCAGTCAATGATAGATGAAACTTACTATTAAAACTAGATAAACTGGGATTCCAACCCAGCAAGCAAGGGAGACAGGAGCTCCCTGGACTGATACTTCAGTCAATGATAGATGAAACTTACTATTAAAACTAGATAAACTGGGATTCCAACCCAGCAAGCAAGGGAGACAGGAGCTCCCTGGACTGATACTTCAGTCTATAATAGATGAAACTTACTATTAAAACTAGATAAACTGGGACTCCAACCCAGCAAGCAAGGGAGACAGGAGCTCCCTTGACTGATACTTCAGTCAATGAGAGATGAAACTTACTGTTAAAAGAAATCTATCACTGGGATTCCAATGCAGCAAGCAAGATAAGTAATAGCTGGAGTGATACTACAGTCTATTATGCATGTGGTAGAACCTTTAATACCCTGATTCTAGAACTAAATGAAGTACATTACATCTATTTATAGTATTATAATGTTCGAGCAGCAGCAATTCTTTCAATAAATTTAATAGCAGCCGTAAGTAGAAAAAGGGGATTCCAAAAACAAAGTTGGCCTATTGTTGCCAATACAGTGGCCTCAAGCCAGGTGGAGGGTTTCGTGCGTTCCACAGGGTGCTTGTCTACTTACGCGGTGTCAGTGGTACTGAGCCATCAGTTACACCGAGGTCTGGGTGGTTGCCTCTGACCGACAGGTGATGTATTGGGCGCCTGATAAGAAAACGGCCGTTGCACTCAAGTGCTTATCAACTCATTCTGCAGTGGTGCAGAGCTTTACGAGTGATACTGCACGGGCCGTAGCGGTGTACCGCTCATCGGGTCATGCCATATCTCAGCTTCTGTCACGAAACAAGTCTGTTGTAAGCGCTCATGCCCAGGTGTCCCGGTATGGACGCAAGCGGAGGTCCCCCAATTTATATGGCCATTGCACTCACGTGCGTCTCGGATACTGCACAGGCCATACACCCTTTTCTTTAGGTCATGCCATATCTCAGCTTCTGTAACGAAACACATTTTTTCAAGCCTTAAAATTTTTTTGTTGTTGTTTAAATAAGAAAAATCTCAGTTGCTTTAAGTATAATTTTAGATTTTCTAGGAAAGAGTTGTTGCTCTAAGAAGATTATCACTGATTTTCAAAGTAATATACACTAAGGGCAACTGGGATTCTAGCCCAGCAAGCAAGGGAGACAGGAGCTCCCTGGACTGATACTTCAGTCAATAATAGATGAAACTGACTATTAAAACTAGTTAAACTGGGATTCCAACCCAGCAAGCAAGGGAGACAGGAGCTCCCTGGACTGATACCTCAGTCAATAATAGATGAAAGTTACTATTAAAAC